ACCCCCTCCTCCTGGCTTAGATAGTCTTCCAGCCGAACCATAAGGTCGGCTTTAGAACCCCCAGTTGCGAGACCTCGTCGTGACAGCTCCCCTTGCAACTCTCTTATCGTCAGCTCAAGTATGCTCTAACCTGACATATTGAATGCTGATATTCTAATAATAGCAGATAAGTAGGTCAATGGGGATAAGCTAATGCGCTGATCACGTGATCGGGAAGTGGACTTGTCTACAAGATATTTTTAGTACAAACCACGTTAGGAAATTCTCCTGTATAATAAGTCTATCTCTAACTATATAGCTTATATACACCTTAACCCCAATAATTAATAAGCTATGGCTAATTATGTCTTAAAAATTTCTTTTTCTGGGACTTACTACACTTTTTGTCAATTAAAGCTGTAAGTTCTCTTTTTTGCAAATATTTTATTAAGGGTGCTACAAATAATAATTGCTTTAATTATTTAGTACTTACCTTAATTACTTATTAGTATACAACAACAATTCCTTATTCGACTGCGCCAATGTTGTGGTTCAGGTGGTTTTTTATTAAATAAATAAATAATTACTCCGTCAGTTAAATATTATCACTGTATATTTTATACACTATATATATATAAATATAATGCCAAGAATGTCACAACGGCTTATTCCGTGAGGACGTTGAAATATATTATATTAATGATAATGTCGCCGCCGGCTTGGACCGGTTCTCTCCGCCCGTCGGCCACTCCATATGGCGCGACCTGCCGGACGTAAAGGGAAAGCGCCGCGATCGTTTTGTTCAAGTATAATGATATTTGACAGTGATTAAAATCACTACCATAAAAAACTCTTCGATGCAAATTTGTAGATAGAATTTAATTAAAAATAATTGGTGAATTATTCCAATAGCTACATTATTTCCTATTTCCTTATTTATATCCTTATTACAAGTTTTATGATTTATAAGTGTAATATATGAATAAATATATATATAAAGGAAAATGGTGTTATTTATCAATAACTTTGTCGCCAATTTATTGTGTAGTTTTCAATTTAGTACTCTACAATTGCTTTATTGTAGTACAATATTACAAAAAGTGGAAATTGAAGTCCAATCCATCAAAAACAGAATCGATAATGTTTCACTTGAATAACAAATTGGCTAATCAGAAGCTCAACATCAACTTCGACGGAATTCAAGTTCAACACAACATGGCTCCTAAATATCTAGGGGTTAATTTGGACCGATTATTAACGTATAGAGTTCATCTAGAGAGAATAGCTCAGAAACTATCGACCCGAAATAATATCATAAATAAGCTAGCTGGTTCTGGATGGAGAGCAAACGCCAAATCTCTCAGAACAGCAACTCTTGCGTTGGTTTATTCCACAGCTGAATACTACTGTCCTGTTTGGCTAAATAGTAGTTATGTTTCAAAAATAGAAGTACAGCTCAATCGGTCAATGAGAATTATCTCTGGGACACTAAAATCAACTCCTCTACCTTGGCTACCAGTCTTAACAAATATTCCTCCTACACATATCAGGCGAGAAGACTTCCTAAGGAAAGAATGGGAGAAGTACACTAAAACTCCTTCCATACCGCTATATAATGATATAAAAAATCTACCACCGTTGAGATTGAAATCACGAAATCCTGGCTGCCCGGATAATTCCGGTACATACCTTACCATCAAAGATCTATGAAAAAAAGAATGGAGTACAAAAAAGCCTTATAATTACGAACTTGTTGAGGATCCGGATCTTAAGCTTCCAAGATTTAACCTACCAAGGAGAGAGTGTTTGAAACTAAACCGCTTTCGCTGCGGGCAAGGAAGATCAACCATCTGATGAAGAAATCGAAGCTGACAGATTCAGAATTATGTGAAGCTGATGGAACGATCCAGAATATGGAACACCTTGTAGAAGAGTGCCCGACATACCATTTTCCAGGAGGTATGAAGAGTTTACACGCATTGGAAGGGGACGCCGTCCGCAGGCCCTCCGAATTAGAAAAAGAAGTGTGAAATCGTTTTGATTACTATATTTATCTTGTTATTGTTATTGCTTTCCATAATAATTCATATTTTATAATTGTTATCATCTATATCTAAAGTTTATATGTTAGTTAAATATTTTTGTTTCTGCTTGGATTACCATACGAATATACAGGATGATTTTTTTTATCATAACCCACTCAATTACTTGCAGAATAATAATAATTTAAACATTTTTTTTTTATTATCTTTAGTTACACATTATTCTTGAATTTTTAACTATGTAATACTTTTTAAGTTCATCCCTTATCCCTTGGAAGGGGGTCAACTTTGTTTTTTTAAATGGTAACACATATTTTTAATTTAATAAAATGTTTGAGTTTTTAATTTAATAGTAAATGGCATTTGAATTTTTATTATAACTTAATTCGTTTATTAGATATAATCATTTAAAGTTACAAATTTTTGAGTAAGTATACAGGTTTAATACACAAGGGATTACAAATATAGGTAGCTAATTGGTTTTTTATGACATTGCTGTCACAGTCACCCATTGTTTATTATCAATTATAACTATTAATAGATATACTTTTTGTATTATCAGTTAGTGTATTTATAAACTCACAACAATGTACCTTACTATCATTGATAATAACAATGCTGTGTACCTGCTAATATCGATAAAAAGTTGACACCCTTACCAGGCATAAGGGATGAACTTAAAAAGTATTACATAGTTAATAATTCAAGAATAATGTGTAACTAAAGATAGTAATAAAAAAAAAATTTGTAATTATTATTATTATGTAAGTAATTAAGTGGGTTATGATAAAAAAAATCACCCTGTATATATTGTAGTACATTAATAATCGGATTTCATCATTACACATTTTCGGTCGCATACTTCTACTCGTCTAAGTATAAATATATTAATAAGTTACGATGTACTAGTCAAAAATTATTATCCATCAATCATTTACTTAATTAAATAGTTGTTTATTTTATAAGCTTTTTAAAAAAATTAAATTAGTAATATTATAAGGAGTAGGGTATGGATCTAAAACATACTTAACCATTTATAAATTAATATTACATTACATTAATTATCAAAACCAAGTAAAAATATTTTCAAGATTATTATTTTAAGAGAAATTCAGTGATCAATGATAAATTAATCTCTCTATAAATTTATTTAAATAACATATTTAAACTAAATATGTTATTTATATGTCAGTATGTGTTTAGCGTTGATAATGGTAACATTGTTTCCGAAATACGTATCCGCGACTTTTCATTAATTTTTTTTGTGGCTTTTGAGTTTAATATTTTTAATATTTTTTAGTTTTTTTTAAATTAATAATATTTTTAATATAGTTTTAATTTTACTTAATTAACTAGCCACAAGTGATCAATTTTTATTATATTTAAACTATTTTTTATAATATTTCTAGCAATTTTTAACAATACATAAATTAATAAGATTATGTAGTTCACAACTTAAAATATTTGTGTGAGTGTTCCTTTAACTAGAATTTAAAAGGATAACACTACAAGTGTCTGGAGTAAACAAACATAATATGTAAGATTATTAAAAGATGTTGAGAGTATTCATATATTAATACTTCTATATAAGAATATTGTACAAACATAAAATATCACTAAAATTAATGTTAGTAAAACTTAACAATAATAGAAATATATATATATATATATATGTATATTAATAGATTATTTAATGGTAATTTAAAATGATACAATAAAGACGACCTGTACATCCACAGATGGTTGTGACCTGGTTTGAAGCAAAATTGTATGTCTTGATAATAACAGGAACAAAATGACAGGAAAACAACGATTAATCTTAACCAAAAGTTAGTGTGTTTTGAGTATCACTTTATATGTAAAGAATTGGTTTGCGAAATTATGAGTGTATGTACACCCTTTTGCGGTAGTTCAAAAAGAACAAAAAAAAAAAAAAAAACGAAACGATAATATATTGTTTAGTTTGGTATCAACGATACTCGAGCGAGCGTTTAATTGCGAATGATTAATAATGACTCGTTTTAACAAGTCGCGTGGAACTCGTTCAATTATTTTTACCAGCGGTCAATCACATATTGATGGGGCGGTCACAACAAAGACACCATATGACTGTATACGCAACAATATTATTTATATTTTTTTAGTTTTAATTTTTAAATATTTTGAGTGCATAAACAATTTTAAACAGCCCTCTACAAATTTAAAATGCTTACACAGAGTCGTAAATAATATATGGCTACAAAGTAAGGGTAAAAGTATAATCATCAATATTTTTAGTTTAAACGTCTCTAAAAAAATTTTATGTAACCGTTAACATAATGTCTAATTTGATTTGGGGAGAGGTGGCTTAGCTCCTTATTTGCATCAATGATTTTCAAAAATCATTAAAACATTTAAGAGGTTGAATTTTTTTTTCGATTGTTGCTGAGGATTTAAAAAATATGTACCACATTAAAACTCTTCGTCTAAACCCATCTTATATTCAGTACCGTTTTTAGAGGTCACTCGGAGAGGCAATAGGCTCCTATAAATTTATAGAGGCAAATTTCAACTGTAAAAAGAAAACCTACACAAATTATAGGTTGGGTTTAATATTAAATATTGTCAACACACTGTCGAGTAACAAAGTGTATGGTAAGGCAATATTCTATGTTAGGATGTGTTGCTATAATTGATTAATTTTGATAAATACACTGAATTATCTGAATTTATCATCTTACTCCTCTTACCCTACATAAAAAATATTTAAAGAGGACCAACTCAAAATACGCTATTTTTAAGTCATTAGTTCAGTTGTTCATATATTATATTTTAAAAATTATAATGAGACATTTTTGCACTGAATACACGAGATAGTTGTCTCTGTTGAACAGATTCCGTTAACTAACAAATATTATTTTGACTAACGTTAGTTAGTGCTATCATACTGCAGTAAATTTTGTTCAGTAATTTAGCTTAAAAATTAATAATAACATCCCAAACGGAAAAAATGCATTTATTTATGAAAGGATCAAAGTCAATTTTAGTTTCAGTAAAATAAATTTTCAACTGGATATAACATAATAAATCAGCAAAAATAAAAATAATTTAATTTACAATGTTAGGCACAAAAAAATGTACAAGTTATTAGTTTAATCTTTTCTTGCTTTTGGACGGCAATCGTTCAATAGCCATAGCCTAAAAAAAAAAGTGAATAAATTAAGTAAATATAAATATTGTAAATAATAATATTAAAATATTATACTGTAATTATAAATTCAGCTTTAAATGAAAAAAAGTAATTATGAGTAAAATGTAGCGTATAATTATAATCAAATATATTTTTCAAAATTTAGTTATGTGAAAAATAATATTTCATGTGTTTAAAGTTTAAATTAGAAGTATGCAAATAATAAAGACAAATTTGAATTAGTGATAGAAAATATTGAATAGTAAGCAACGAACTAGTCGACAGTTTATTAAATATTTAATAGGTTTTGCTAAAAACAAAACTATTTAATCGCATAAAAAGTATTTAAATATACCCATCAGTAATTATAAGTAGCGATGGGAAACTATAAAATACTATTCAATAGTTTAAAATATTCGAAAATGCCCATCACTAATTTTATGTATATGTTTAATTTACATGATGGAGTTACTTTTTTGGAAAAATTAGTTTCAATAGTACAGAAAAAAGTGCATTGATTATAGAAAAAATGAAGAAAAAAGTGTGTTTGTTATTAAAATTCTAGGAAAAAGGACTTAACTAATTTTTTACTATTATGTAAGCAGAAATTAAATTATTTTTTTTAGTAGTTGTCAAAATATAATTTAATCGGTTGTAATATAAATTTTTGCTTAAGAAGGCAATGATTTTCCTTTTAAGCAAAAAGGCAGTAAGTGTTATAATTAAAAATGTGTTTTCAATTCAAAGTGTTCGTAATTTTAAGGCGAATTTTTTTATTTCTTAGCAAATATAATAGACTTTATGCAAGTAAAAATAAACATATCTTTAAAAATATAGATGAAACTTAAGAAAATAGCAGTATCAGTATTAGTTTTGAGCAACAAGTTGAATGCATTATACATATAATTTCGCTTGGTTTTAGACCATAATATATATTAATACATTTTATAGATGACATTGGCTATTATAGTAATAATTTTTATTGTAGAGTTAATTCAAAATACGCTATTTTTAAGTCATCAGTTAAGTAGTTCATATATTATATTTTAAATATTATTATGAGACATTTTTGCATTGAGTACACGAGATAGTTGTCTCTGTTGAACAGATTCCGTTAAGTAACAAATGTTATTTTGACTAACGTAAGTGTATATGTATCGTAATCATAAAGATTTAGACTTTTGGGAGCTCAGAGAAAATTTTTTTAGGGCTTTTGCAAGCTAAAAAAATAAATGGTCATGAAAATGCTTAAATTAAATCTTTTATACTCTTGGGACTGATGGAAATAGGGTGACAGTAGGATTTAGGCCTTTAGTAATAGAATTAGCATCAATCACCCTCTAGAAATAGGTAGAAAATTTTATTAATTTTTATATTAAAATATTCTATAGGGTAGATGGAAATTAGTTAACTCCCCAAAAATTTCATCCTAGTGCCGACAATGATTATTATTCTAACTACCCCTTATATTATTATTGTGGTATTATTATAATTATCAACCCACACAATTGAACGTTTTATACAATTTTATTGTATTCATCATATGTTTCGATATTGTTCCGTTGAGAAATTTTAATGTAGGAATTTTGCCTCAATTTAATAATTGCCTCCTCAATATTTAATGAACAGTTCTATTAAGTTCAATATTTTGTTTTTCATAAATTTTCTTTTAAAGGTGACACTGGTTTTAATGGTCGAGATCCGTGATCCGTTTATTAATGACGAGGAACAACAGATTATTTTAAAAAGAACCGAAAAGACTAACAGAATCAATTAAAGCCTTCGCATAATATCGCGGCACTTTTGTTGACGTCAGTGACGCGGTGTCCTCGAACATCAAAAAGTTATCAGCGTTGATGGAGACGATGACAGGTGCGGATCGGTTCGTAAAAAGATACGTCCGGCACCAATGGCGTACATCCTCGACGTTGTCACTTTGACAGCGGGAAGAACACTTAATGTATCAACTGCGGCGGGTCGCCTCGGGTGTACTGCACTTGCTTGACTTAGCACCGTAGCGTAGGCACGCAGTGTTGGTCAGTCAAACTACCAAATACCCATAGTTGGGTGACGGCTGATAAAGGTGACACGGGTCGCGGAGAACAGTGCATTACGTAGGACCGTGTCAAAGGTAAAAAGAGACAAAACTTTTTTGGTAGTAACGTACAGTGGGACCGAAAACTACTTTTATTAAAATTTAATTTGCTCTGAATGTTTAAAGTTATGTGCGCACCATTCCCTCAGTCTCCCCTACAACGTATTGTTCACAACTAAACACTTTTCTGTATTTAAAATTCAATTTCCACTAAAAAAACAATTGTTATAATCTTTTGTTTTAAAAAATCGCACATTTTGACTATTGATAATTTTTAATTTACTTACTTCTAACTTTTTCACTACTTCAACCATTTTTCGTTCCACGGGTTCTAGTGAATCTTTGACCTTGTCGAAGAAGTTGGAAACTTTTTCTGGGTCTAGTACGTATTTTACTATATCTTCATACAATCTATTAATCTGACAAGTCAAATCATAAATTTTATTCAATTTTTCAGCCAATACTGGATCATCCTTTTTAATCATGTCGGCTTTTTTCTTAAATGAAGTTTCTAATTCTTCGTCCATTTTTTTTACAAAATTGTATACTGAGTCAGCATTTTTTCTAACCTAAACTTTGAAAAGTTATACTTTATACCTTGTAAGTTTTTCTAAAATTTTCTTTTTACTGCGATTATATTAATAAATTAAACTCTATATACATATTTAATATCAAATTTTAATATTTGTTATTGTTGAAGAATTTTATAAAAAATTTAATTTATAGTAAAAGTCTAAAATTAAAAAAGTTAATTACAAGGATATGGATGATTTATGAAAAGTTTTCAATAATATTATAAACAAAATTTGGACATTTAAATTAATTCAAACAATAAGTAATTAATTTTTGTGTTAATCAATATTAAATAAATTGAGTGCTTTGATTAAAAAAAAAATTTTTTTATTTTCTAAACCAATAAAAAATATAAAAAGTTAAACATAAATTTTTATTATCAAGTTTATAATGTATTTAAAAAAAAAAATTTAGTAAAAAATTACATAAAACTAGCCCTGTAACCAATATAACGTTGAACATGCGTATTTTATAAATATATCTTTGTGTAGAACTTAAAAATGTATTTTAATTGTTTTATTTTAATACACAAAGAGATTTTTTAGTAAATTGTATTAAATCAAACGATAGTACATTTTATATTATCAAATTTAATGAACTAAAAAAAAAAAATCGAAATTGCATGATATGAAAAAGTAAACTATTAATTATATGTAAATTTTTTTCATTTTCATTATTGGTAACATTAACTTAACAATTAAATTACCTCAGTCTTAAATTACTTTATATTTAACTTGCGTCATAAAGCGCTTAGGAAAAACATACTTGGTCTTTGAACATATTTTTGACATCATTTACTTTGCTAGCAAACTCGTACTTTGAGTACATTTTATTTAAATCGACGGATAATTTGTCGGGGTCATCAGTAATTACATTGGAGATTTCTCTACCTACATTGGTAACAGAACCGAGGACTGCATGAATAAATTCACTCTTTTCGTCTTGCTAAAATTATGATTGATATTTAAATTTCATTTTTATGCAATTAATTATTTAGATGTCAAATAAACAATAAAGATGTTATCATACCTTAACAAAAGCAAAGGCAGTTGTAGCCACACAGAACATCAAAAATATTTTTACCAACATTTTAATATTGTCTATTGATTTCCAATCTAGTTAAAATTTTTTTTAATAGTGAACAAGAAATTAAAACCGCAGTATTTTTTTATTATTATATGAGTTCTATCCCTACTTAAAGAAAGTTTATAATTTATTAGATATTATACGTAACAGGTTTATGTTATGATTACTTTTACACTAGTGAGTAGTATTTAAGCTTCATCAGAACTATGTATGCACGTGTTTTTTTGATAAGCTTAATGAGGTCTATTTTTCAATCGCATTACTTATTAAGATTGATATGATATATTTCTTTGAATTATAAGTGACCTTACCAACTAACCTACCCGTATGGAAAAACCAAGATTGTTTTCGAGGAGAAAACAAATCCAAAGGTTATATTTAAGATAACTAAGATTAAAACGGTATTTGGTGAGCTTAAAAAATAAACTTATAATTATAGACCATGTTTATTATGAATTGGTTATGAAAATAAGATAACGTTTAGTTAAAATTTAAGGCACGGATAAATTTGATCTGACACAATCTATCTTTTTGAGTTTTATTATATTATAAATCACAAATATGATATTAAAAGATCAGAAGTTGTTCAAAGTTTAAAATTACAGAACACAAAGTTTATAGGTGCATTAGTTATTTAACATTGAACCATATAGATGTTTTTAGTGGAAATATGGTACATTTTTTTACTCGTAAATTTAAATCGCATTCACTTTTATGAGCAAAAATCGTAAATATTTAGACGTTCGTCTACGTGAATTTACGAATATTTTTTAATGCACATTAATTATATTTTCATTATTCTAATAATTTTCATAATAAAACAAAGTAAGGCGGAATCAAGTAATTAAAGTACCGAAAGTTTTTTTGAGAAGTTAAAAAAATACATTTTATTTTTCCATAAAGAGCCATTAGCTACTTAATATTTGTTACTCGTTATTAAAATTTATTTATTTTTTCTTATAACATTACAATGAATAGTAGCACTAACAATTTTCTATAATTTACTAATAGTAATTGAAGTTCAATTGCTTTTCATAATATTGGCAGTGCACAACAATTGTTTTTGAACTTTTTTTTTCGAATTTAACTTTTTTTATAATAAACTTTCCTAAAAATCATCTTTAAAGGACCAAAATAATTTATTACACATGACATTTTGAATCGAAATTTCGCACAAATTGTTAACATATTAATAATTTAAGTAAATAATAATTTGATTTTTTTAAAATTAATTTTTGATGTATAATTACTCGTTTTTTATTATCTATTAATTATCTCAGAAACCAGAGGTGATAGAAAAAAATTGATTGTAAATTTGAAATAATCGAGAAAAATTGGTATGTTTTCGTCTGATATAAATTTCTTGTAGACCAGCATTATTTATCTTGGGATTTGGAACCTTTAAGAAAAAACCTCCAACAACCGGTTCAAAATTGTTTCAGAGGAAGAAATTAATAACCCGAGAACTAACCAAAACTTCAAGTTATTTGTTTTAAAGAATCGGAACCCTACCAAAAACCGGCCCTTTTTTGTAATGTTCTAAAAATCAGTTACATAAACTATATAGTAGTTTATTTATATTCTTATGTATACCTTACTTAAAACTGTTTTCAATTTAGTTAAAAGACAATAATCTTATACTTTTAACAATAATAATTTTGTACTATTAATAATGCTACTATTAAAAGTTTTTTTTATTTGACTTGTTAAATTTAGAAAAAATATTTTATCAAATTTAAATCATGATAAAAAATTGTTTTAAAGTTTTTGAAGTGAAACTTTTTAAATTTTTTCTATAGGAGAAGTTCTCTTATTTCTAAATCTGGCTATGTATCTCATGAAAATGTTTATTTCATCAAATACATTTTGTTCTTTAATTAGTTAATTGTTTGAGAATTTTTTAATTTGTTTTAAACAAAATAATTTTTAAAAGTATTTTTTATTAAACAGATTAGTTGTAATTATTTTGTACTTGAAATATTTTTTAGAATATTTGTATTTTGTATCCTACACTTCAAATGCTCAAAATTAAGTACTTGGACTACCCTCGAAAACATACTCTAATAATTTTATTAATACTTAGTTGGATCTTGTTAGAAAAATATTTTATTTTTTAAAACGGCTGCAATTGGTAATAACGCCTAATCGCCGGAAGAGTTTTTAAATAATTTAGATTTTTATATTTTTTAAAAAACATTCATTAAAATAAAAATATATAATACATTGAAAAAAATTCTAATGAATAAAAAATGTTTGAAATTATACCTTAGATTCTTTCATAATTAAAAAAAATTGTTTGTTTACAATTTAGAAATTCTTTAACTATTTTTTGAGTCATTAGACCCAATAATTGTGATTCTGCAAATTAAATAATGTTACTAAATATTTATTTATATAAAATCTCAAATATTCCAAGTTATGATATTCTTAATAAATAACATTTACACAATGGGTATCATATTTATCCCGGTTCACAAATGAGATAAGATGAAGTTGCATTTAAATAAATTATAATATTATTTCATATTATGTCACGTGATACTTAATAACTCTATATTTAAAAGAGCTATACATTTATCCTATGTCGCCTTATAGAATTTATTTTTTCTTCAACATTAGGTAGCTTGTTAATTGTATTAATTACATAAAAAGAATCGCTTGCAGATTCCTAGTATTATTAATCTTCAGCAACCAGTGAACAACAAGCCCGCCAGTCTGATTTTGAAAATATTTTAATATATATGAATTTATGTGTAGTGTTCCTTTAATCTATATTACGATAAAATTTAAAATAATTTTAGATTCTCTGATAAATTATCGTCAAATTATACTAGTTATATTAAACTATAATTTTTATTAGATCAAAAAATTAAATTTTTGATCTTACAATACCAAAAAATAAATTTGTAAAAGAATATTTGTTGCCGTCTATTACATAACGCCGTTTAATTCTAATATAATAAATATTCTAGCATACCTGTATAGCTATTTATAAACATATTGTGAAAATAAGTTTATTTTTTCTGAAATATGAAAAGTTAATACAAAAAACATTCAGAGAATTTATTTATTTTTAACTTTTATTATTGAAATAATATATAAAAAAAATATTTAAATGGTAATACATTTTAAGTATTAATAACAAAATATAATCAAATCATTAATTTTTACTCTTCTGCTTAGATGGCAAATGTTCAATGATCAAAGTCTGAAAAACAAACGTATTCACAGTTCAACTTTAATTAATAAAAATAACTACTGTACAACATTAAATTAAAAATATTTGGATTTAAGTTAAAACCTGAATTTTTTCACTAGTTTAATTATTACAATTTTACTTTTGTATAATTTTTATTTTTAATAAATAAATTTATGATTATAAATCAAAATTAAAGAACTTTTATTTATTTTTTATATAAATATAAACACATATATACATAATATATCCCACATGGTAATCTCGAATATTAGTATTGTCAAAATATTACTTATATCGGATTAAAACTATTTTTTTCGTTTAACGTTTAAATATAATATATGGTTATCTTATAAATGAGTTTAACGTGATTTCATTTAAACATTTTACAATTTTTACATTTAACGTTTTTAATATTAAAACGGTATTTATTTATTTTCATTTACCGTTTCAATGTTGCTACTTTTTTTGCTTATAACGTTATAAATATTCGAATCATAATTCACTATCATAACCTTCTTTTGAAAAGGACAAGTAACTACTTTTTTTTTTAAATGGAGTAATAATTTTTTTATGTTTTATGTAAAATATCATAAAACATAATAATTTCCGAAGTACTATTTCAAAAGTCTACTAGTCATTATCTTATTAGCTATTTAAATATATATGATGTCATCTAAAAAAATGAAGTTGACAACCTTATAAAGTAAAAGGGTAAATTTAATTATTAATAAATCTAGAAATATATAAAAATAAAAAAATAAAAAAATATTAATTTTATTTATTTGTTTGTTTGTTTTTAAATATTTATAAATTTGATTCATAGTATTTTGTAAGGCGACTTTTAAGTTCAAGTTATTATTTTTCATTTTAGAAATAGATATTATCAAGGGCATAACAAAGTTTATTTTTTAAGAGACCAACCAAATCGATTTAATCGACCGATTGAATTTTAGCTTTCGATTTCGTTTATTATAAATTTATTATAAGTCCTTTTGGTCGACAGTAATACTAAATAGTGCCTTTACGGCCGACTGAGGTAAATATAGAGGAGCAATTGGGTAGTTGTCCCCTAAATTTCTTTAGTCAAACATTGATATATTTATTATTTATTACATACTCTACATTGATACCGATTGCTTTTGTATTTAAAAACCCAGTACAGGGGGGTCGCTGCACAATGTTGACGTGGCATAGTTGGGTCAAGTATAATAATATCTGACAGTGAATAAAATCATTATCATAAAAAACGCTTCGATGCAAATCTTTAGATAGTGTTTAATTTTAAAAAATTAGTAGACTATTCCAAAAGCTATATGATCTCCTATTTCCTTATTTATATCCTGATTAAGATAAAGTATGTCTAATGAAAGATGTATAAATACTACTTCTCATTAAAAAATTGTAAAGATCCATACGTTTTTCAAAAAGTTATAGCATTATAAAGTTAAAAATATAAAAAAGAATTTTTTTACAAAAATACAAAGTTAAGTTTATTATCTTTGATGTCTATTTTCACCACGAAGATAAAATAAAGTCCGAAATTTTTTTTTCCATGATAAAGTATATTACATTAACTTTAATTTAAAATATATATAAAAGTATCAGACTTTTCGGAAAACTTTTAAAAGTTAAGTTGTCATTTTAAATCCCCCTCTGTGGGCAGATAAAGGATCAGATTTATAAAAAAAGTATATCAAATGATAGATAAAGACATCATGCATTTATAAAAATAAAATTATATCGATTTTGTCATTTTTAAAAAAGTTATAGCAGTTTTAAGAAAAAAAATTCGAAAACTAGCGATTTTTAAATTTGTAATTTTTTTGGAGGATTCTTCCATTTCCGGGGAACGAGGGAAATGTTTTCAATTTTTGAGGGTAATATCTTCGACTAGATACGATTTGTTATCTTTTAACGTATCGTTGAAAGAAATCGGTTCAGTGAAATCTGAGAAAAAGTGGTAACAGACACAAAAAAAAATACATATCATAGTAAAACTAATACCTTCTCAGTTCGCATCGAAGCTAAAATGTACTTAAGTTTTCCTTATTATTTTTATTACTTTAACAATGTAAATAAATATATTTACTTATTAAATTGTTTCACATATGAGGATGGCTTTAAAAAATAGTTATATCTACCATTATAAAGTATAATATATACACACAGAGTGAGTCACTAAGATATGACAAATTCAATTACTTTTGATCCAATTATCATTTCGTTAAAATTTTTGTTTTTAATAACTATTATAATTTAAGACTATATTTAAAGCATATTTTTATTATCAATCATTAATAAAAAAATTAAAAAATAAGATTTAATAAAAGTTTTGATGGTTTGATAAACACTTTAGTATTTATAAAACAAGTACTTCTCAAGTTGCAAGCATTTAAATACACAAAGTGAGTATGAAACGCGGACTGAGTATACGTACACCAATACGGACTCTAAACACCCGTGCTACAAATCCACTTTGTGTAATAAAATGCTTGATAAACACTTGTTTTAAATTTGTTAACGCCCCATATCATTTGTTTGTAAAAAAATGCCTATTTTAAAGTTTTGAAACAAAACAAAATTAGTAAAAAATTTTATTTGATAATTGGTTATTAATTGCAATACTGTAAATGTAAAATGAAGTATAAAAATTTATCACTTGTGATTAATATTTAAAATTAAAAAAATAAAAACATAATTAAATAAAGTAACAAAATTTACTAAAAAATTGCATAAACGTATTTTGATAACAGTTATCATTACAACTGCTAAGCATATAATATATAACACATACTAATTAAATTCTAATAGCTCTTATATTGAAATGTAATTTTTATAGTTGTTATATCTAAGTCTCACATATTATTCAACTATCTTAAATTTTACTTCTCTCCTAAAGCAAATGTCCGACTACAATTGTACAATATGGCTTATTAGTATAATACAAAACAAAAAAATTCTTAAATATAAATTGTCAATTTATAAATATTTCCAAGTGACCAAAATTGTAACAGAAATTATTTTTTATGTATTACCTTAAATATTAAAAAAAAAATACTTAAAATACTCAAAAAATTTTATTTATTTTTATTTTTATCTAAATGTTCTCATAAGTAATTTATATTAAATAATTTTAAATATTATTGTACGCTTTACTTCTATACAGTCTGAAATATTTCTGATAGAGTGAAGAAGTGTTCTTTTTCTTTTTCCTCGCCTTAATCCCAACTACTTGGGATTAACACTCTCGTCCAAAACTTCCATTTGAGACGATCTACCACATCATCTACTCTCATATCAACCGTCCTCATATTGCATTTACATCGCTTCAATTCTACATCATTCAATTACATCCCTCCATCTCTCACCTCATAATATAACCAAACCATCTAAGTCTATTTTTTCTCATTTTCTCCACGATTGACGCTACACCTATACTTTCTCTTATATGCTCATTTTTTATTCTATCTTTTCTAGTCACTCCATGTATCCATCTAAGCATTCTCATTTCTACTACACTCATTCTCTGCTCTACTTTCTTATCAACCTCCCAACACTCTGAACCATACACCATAGCTGGCCTTATAACAGTCTTGTAGAATTTACCTTTCAGTTTCTTTGGAATTCTTTTATCGCATAACAGACTAGATGCTTCTCTCTACTTCAACCACCCGCACTTAATTCTGTGTCTTACATCCTCGTCAATACCACCACTCTTTTGCACAACTGACCCTAAATATTTAAAACTCTCCATCTCTTCAATCACGTCCTCACCTATTGTCACTGGTCTTTTTATTTCATCTACCTCGTGTTCACTTTTGTCAAACTCGTACTCTAATACACTGTCTTACTCCTACATATTCTTAAGCCCTTTTCTTCAAAAGCTGATCTTATTTCCTTCTATTACTCTATATTGTCAGCGAACAACATATACCACGGCTCCTATCCTTGTATTTCTCTATAGAGTGAAGAAGTGTAATTTTATTTATTCAGGTAAAATAGTAATATATTTTTTTAACGATTTTAAACTTTCATTTTTGAACAGCTTTAAATGTGTCGAATAGAATGAATAAACATTGCAGTTAATATTAACTTTTATTTTATAAAATATCATTTAATTATTCTTCATAAGGGCTCGGGATGTATTTATAAAATTTGTTTAAACTTTTTCTGAGACATCCAACTCCGTGAAAAATTATTATTAGTTTATATATTGCCACAGGAATACTTTTTGTTCTAAGTCGAATGATCCCCTAATTTATCGTAGATATACTCGAGATAACTAAAATAAACTTTATAAATTCATTAAGTTACGAGCCCTGTTCATCATTATCCTTCTTTTCTGTTTTTTATTGTTTCATTTTTCTCATTAGTACTAAAAAAACGTATTAATTTTAAAATTATATTTATTTTTACCAAATTTATCTAATTATTTTTGTTAAATTTAATTTTTGAATCATGTAGCTTTGTACTAGATTTTATAAATTAAATTAATTTTTAATTACAATTAAATAAATAGTAATGTTAAATCAGTAATCTGTACAACTATAAAATTTTTTTGTTTAATGTAAAACATCAAATAAAAAGATTAGTAACCCTATTTTTTATGTAATAAGTTTGTTTTTAAATTTGTAAAAATTTAATTTTTGCTCATTAAGTAAAATTAATTATAGTTTAATTATAATTAGTTAAATTAAATCATTTTAATGAGTTTCATTCAAAATGTTTGCATTTAATTTCCAGCATATTGATTTAAATTAAGACCTTTTAAAAAAAAAGTTTAATAATAATGATTAAACTAATTTATCATTAGTTTAATTTAACTTATTCATTATTCAAGAGAAAAAAATAGATATGATATGATATACAACAATTGTTTATTATATTATTTTTTAGATCATTTTCTGTTCGCTAATTAGTGGTTTTTTTAGTTCCAAAGGTTAATTATTATGCATACTTTTATTGAAATTATTTTCTTTATTTTAAATATATATTTTATGAGTTGTTTATAATAACCCTCTTTCATTTAAAATTGAGTTTTCATGACTTTGTTTCTAAATTCTTAATGTACAACATTAATGTTAAAATATTGATTGATAATTTTTAAATTTGAAAATATTTAAGTAATATTTATATGTGATAATAATGTATTATTATTTATAATTGACGGCTTACTTCTAGTTTTTTAATACTTTCTATGAGTTTTCGTTGCATTGGTTCAAATGCATCTTTTTTAACTTTTTCAAATGTAGAGGTCATTTTTTCTGAGCTCAATGTATGTTTGATTATATCTTCTGTTAACCTATCCAATTGACAAGTTAAATCATAGTATTTATTGAATTTTTCTCCAAGAGCAGGATCATCTTTTTTTATCATATCAGAGATTTTTTTCAATTCATTTTCATAAGTCATATCAATGTTTTTGATTTGTTGGTTAAAAGCTTCTGTTCCAGTTTTAAACTGCAAAATTTTTTTTTTTAGTTTAAATTAATAATTTTATATGAGTAATTTTTATAATTATTGTTTATTAATTATAATTATTATTAATTAAATAATAATTGTTATTTATTATTTACTATTTATTTTTATTCTCTCTAATATTAAAGCTAGTATAAGTTATGCATCTTTATGTTTTTATCTGTTATCCATTATTTCTTGTCTGCTAATTTTTGTAAAAGCCGTCTGGGGTTAATTATAATATAATAATAATAATAATTTATATTTACATCATAAATATTTTTAAAATCAAATAAAACTTAATATTGAATAGGTGAATGTAAGCCTAATTGACACCTTAAGTTTAAAATAACTATAATTCATTACATGATATAATTTAAGTGATCAATTTAAATGTATCCACATTTATGTGGTTTAACGGAACAGAATTCAAAATTTTATTCTTAACCAATGTTTAATTATGATTTTTTTATTTAAAGATGAAAATTATTTTATTTTTTCTTGTAGTCAGTAGATCATTTTTGCATTATAAAAAGAAATTAATATAAACAATATTTGATGGAAATATCAAAGATAACAATTAAAAAGGAATATTTACTAAATGGTATATTAAAAACAAAATAATTTATACTTAAATGAATATATTATTATTTTTTTAACACGATGATTGTTTTGCCTCAAATTCAGCATACAAGGAGTATTTGCTTGTATTTTTTTGTAATTTTAGTATTTATTTTTTTACCATGACCTTTGCAATTTTTTTAATAAGGATATTTGTCCAGAATAATTCTAAAATAAATTATATTTTATAATGAGTTGATTTCCAAAAAATTTTAAACATTTGAATTTTATAAAACATGAGTTTGCATTTCTGTTAGTTCATTTTTATTAAAAATGTTTGAAAACTATGGAAATAAATTAAGTGTACATAAATTAACTAAGAAATAATTTAGTTCTCAGTTAAACATTAATTAAATTAGCAGTGTTTGAAAAATAAACGAATTAACTAAAATCTAACATTTTATTACAAACACACTTGTTTTTTCTGTTTCAAGAAATATTAAAATATCATTTAACATTTAAAATTTTATTTAACCTATAAATATAGCCAAAAACTTTTAATCCACCCATTAATAAAAATAATTTGTTATATTTAAGCTTGCCATACAACCATTAATTTTTCAATTGTGATCTGTTAATTTAAATCTCATAATTGAATTGTAATAAGTACATACTTGATTTTGTAAAAATTTCTTAGCATCTTCAGCTTTGTTGTCCACTTCATATTTTTTGTATAAGCCATTAAAATCGACAGAGTATTTATCAGAGTCATCAGAAATAACTTTTGAAAGTTCTCTTCCTACATTGGACATTGAATTAAGGACTGTATGGACTAGTTCATTTTGATCATCGCTCTGAAATATTATAAATATAATAAAAATAAAAATTACTTGAAATAAAACATAATATACTTAAATTTACATACTTTTGGAAATCCAAACGCTACAGATGCAAAGCATATAACAAAACCAATTTTTAAAAACATATTGAATTTTTTTTTGTTGTGTTGTGTTTCGAATTTAGTTTAGAAATGAATTGACAGGTGGTTTAAAATTAAATAAAGCCTCTCTTTAATTAAATACTAATATCTACATATCTCGTCTTTCTTTGACCTTTCAATTACTGTCTATAATATTATAGATAACATGTAAAAATAACCTTTTTAGGCTTATTTTTGATCAAAATCAATATAATCCATGAAACATACGTATATCTGTTTGTATGAACATAAAATACAGTGTAATTTGCAGCATTACTACAGACTATTTTCTGTTGATTATGACGTTTTTCATAAAAATTTATGAATAAGTTTTATTTACTTGTATGGATCATGATAAATACTAAGCAAATAGAAAATAAAATAAAAATTTTTAGGCTAAATTCTACAAGTAACTTTTAAAAGTTATACATTTTTTAACTTATATTTATTCTTAGGTTGAATATCGAAATTAAAATAACACCTTCCTAAATTTTCTTTAAATCTCCACTTATTAATACTATGTTGCACATCAAATATTTATAAAAATAAAAGATAGATTATTAACAGATTAATCTAAAAAAAATCTTATATAAGAATAAAAAGAGAATTTTCTAATTAGTAAACAATAAAAGAATATTTAAGTATATATAATAATTATATTCTAAAAATCTATTAAAATTTGTTAAAATCAAATCAAGATGTGTAGAGTTTCATTAAATTTGTTGTACATAAATACTATTTTGTTTTAATAATGAACTCTATAAAGTAGTCTACAAGCATGGTAATATATTATTTTAAGTGTTTATGAGTATACAATTTAAAACTTACTATAATTGTACATAATGAATAATGACCACCAATAAAAAAATATAATAATATACCAATATAATAAATAATAATTAACCAAAATTCATTAATAAAAATAATAAATTTATATTTAAGGACTTTATTTTTAAAACTAATTGTATACCAACAATTTAAAACCTATATTAAGATCATATTGCAATATAAAAATGTCTATATTAATACATGTTTATATGTATTCGATAAAATTTCCTGTAGATTATTGACCTATTGATATCTGTTCGATATTTAATTTTATTTAGAAATATTGTTTTATTTTAATATGTGTATTATTGTCATTATGTTATCTTAAATATTTGGAGAGTCAGTTTGTGGGAAATTCAACAATATTATGTATGTGGAATGTAATAAGAATCTTAGTAATTGTATAAGTTAGATTTAAATAATTACATATATTAGTACGAGTGAAAATTTAGTATGGTTATTATTAGACAGTTAGTGTTTTATTTCTATTTTATTCTAAAAGATCTTTACTATCCACGAAATTAAATTCTCTTCCTACTAAAACCGACTAAATCCGTCTTCAACATTTACTCATCAAAATCTATAGAAGAAATAAAATTTTAGAAATAAAATAATATATTAATTAAATTTATAGCATTTAAATAATATTTTTTTTAATTTTTATTAAGACAAAAAAATAAGATATTCATTACTACAGAATATTGATTTGAACTATTTGGTTTGTATATACTTTTGAAAATAAGGTTCTCATTTATAACTGTTCGTATATTCAAAAATCATCTTTTTCTTCTAATAAATTTCTTTGAAATTAGAAGTTTTGCATGACCTCTCTTAGAATATTAACGGATATTGCTTCAATTTGTCCGGAATATATTATAAGGAAGAATATGGATGTAGGACACATATGCAATAAAGAAGAAGATGCTAGAAGGACTAGCATTTCCTACTAAATCCTTTGTATGGTCGTATAAAAATTGAAATAAATATTGATAGGGTAACCAACAAATGAAAACCACTAAGTTAGATGTAAAAAATATTAAAATATAAAATTATATTGTAACAAGTTGTAGTTAGTAGATTTTTATAACAGAGAAAATATCTAAATTTAGTCTTACTGAAATATTAAAATTTTAATTTTCAATATATTATAAATCATTAATATTATATTAACATATTATGTTAATTAATTAAAATTTTTTATTACTATATATATAATATTTTAGAAAATAAATAAATTATCAGTTTTACATTCTTTTATTATCTCTCGAACTTGAAATGCTGCAGAGGTTGTAAGCCCTCTTTCACATGTTAAAGATTCAATAATGGTTCTTGGCTAAGCCAATGATGGACCTGGGTGGATATTATGACCGGCTTGTACTAAAGACCATACACCAATAATAAAAAAATTACAATAAAAATCTCATTGGCCCCTTGGGGATAGAACTCGGTACTCCTGCGCTAAAACATAAGTTATTACCCACAAGGCCACGACTTCTAATTAAAATTTTTACAGAATAAATATGTATTAATATTATATGTATAACAGCGAAATATAAATTAATAATGAGCCTAAAGAGATAAAAATTAAGAACTCAAAGAAGTTCATTTACTTACTGGTAACGTGAGTGATTTAATGGTGAACGATGAGGAAAAGGTACTATTTTGAAAACAAATATTCGAAAAGAATATAATTTGGAACAGTACTAAACAAATTTCTTACTCATATCTCCACCAAAGACAAGAACATTGTAAATACCCCTGACTGGTGAAAGTCGTTTTATCTTCTTTTTGGTAACTTTTATTTAATTACTCCAATTTCATAGATTTTAGGTCAAGTTACCAAATTAATTTCAACATATATTCGCAATAAAAATTGACTCAAAATTAAATAACCATATTATAGTAACAATTCTCTTAAAATACCATTAAACTTTTCTTGGCACTAAAATACTAAATTTAAGATAGATTTTATCCATGAAGAAATTCTAAATAAGTTGGGATAAAAAAATAAAATATTATTACGCTTTGAATTTTTAAAAATGTAGATAAATAATTAACTAATCTTTTCACAATAATTTTTAAGAAAAAAATATTTAAACCAATTTATTATTTATAAATGACTAATTAAGTATTAAAAAACTTAATTAAGCCTACAAGTACATTAACCTGGACTTTATACATAAATTACGATAAAAATAACTAAACTCTTTCAGAACAAATTTTATTTGCAATATTTGTTAATAAGATAGCATTTGACCTTTAGAAAGTAAATCAAAGGTTTTATTAAATAAATCTACTTAATGAATTTAATACAGTTTTAACATTTTATTAAAATTGTCTATTAATATTTTATAAACAGATATTTGGTAAAAAAAATCAGTAGAGTTCTGTAGTCATTAATTTAATTTCTTGATTTCATTCATTTTGTAAAAATCATTTTTATCAGGAATCAAAGTTAAAACAATGTCCTAAAAAATATAATTTTTATTATTAGTGTTTTAATTGTATATATTTTTAAATTTATCAAAATTTACTTCAATATCCTTAAGGATAGGAGTCAATCTTTTTGCAATTGGTTTCGATTTTGAGTAAAATTCATCTCTTAATTCATTGTAACGTTCAATAAATGGTTTTTTAAGTTCTTCGAATAGTTTACAAATATCTTCTTTTAATTCAGTCAGTTCGTACTTCAATTTCTTCAGTTTTTCTGCTAATTCTGGATTCTTCATTTTCATTTCATCAATAGCTTGGTCAATGTGTTTTGGTAAAAATTCGAAAATTTGCTTTTGGAATTTATCTAGATTTTCTTCGAACTAAAATAATAATAGGTTAATAAAGGTTATTAATTAAAATATTATTAATTGTAATTTTTTAATAATGATGAGTTTATAACTTAAAAAAATATTTTTTTAATTGACGTGTTCTTTAATAATATATAGAATAGAATGGGTTTATAAATTGATTTAGTTATTGTTATATAATTTGTGTAAAACTGTAATGAAATGTACGCTTATAAACATTTAAAAACTTCATTAAACTGTTTAAGATACTTTAATAAAAAATTTCAATTTTTACGTTTAGTGGAATCACACTTTTAGTTATTGTAACTGCATTTCATTATAGTACTTTAATCAAATACTAATATATAATTAGAATATATTATTTATAAAAAAATTAGACTTTTCTTACTCTAATAATAGCTTCATGAATAGAATCTTCCGAATGTGCAACATTATCTTTAAGTTTATCGAAGTATTTTTCAACGTGGATATCAGCCTCAGTTAGTCTCATTTGCATTTTATCAAATACTTTGCTAACTGATTTTTGGAGTTCTCTGAAAAATTCATCGAATGGACTATCAGGCTTGTCAGGTATAAGTCTTAGTGCGCCTTGAACCTTTTTCATAAACATAAAAACATGTAAATCTTTTTTAAAAAACGTTTTTATTAGGAATAAAATGAAAACTATATACCTGTGATAGACAGACTAAAACAAAAATAAATTTCAAATATGAATTTTTGATGAGCGCCATTTTTTATTTTTCCCTAATGACAACTTGCATAAAGTGCTTTCACACAAGGAATAAACTTGATTATTCTCTTTGGTCAGTTTTTATGCATAAACTATGAACTTTAGAAACAGTAATACGTAACAGATAAGCTTCTATTATCTGTATTATATACCATTTAACCTATCAAATTCAAATAAACAAGTTAGTTGTGATGATTAACCAAAAAATAATGTTTTCTTTGTAAAAATTATTTCACAAATTATAAAAAGTTATCTACTAAAGGATATTTAAGGAAAATACCTATGACTAATTATTAGCTAATGCCTCGTGTGCAATTTAACCTTATTGATTACGATACAATAAAATACCATAACATTTGAGTAATCATTCGGAGTTTGAATTATATTTTTTTGAATAGTTAACATAATATAAATTCATTATGTTTAATTAATATGAATACTATTTGAATTTCAAATATATATAACAGACAATTATGGATAGGATAACTTTATGTATCTCAGCACTTTTGTACGACTACATTTATATGCTTACAATAATAACCTAAAATAAAACACTTTAGAAAATACTAAATTCAAAATCATATTAATAAAATGTATTAAATTATTATATTTAAATTGATAATAATTAAATCATTATTCAATTAAAAAAATAATGTTGTGCGATACAATTCGATCATACACGAGAAAAACTGTCTAAGTAAAAAAATGTGTGAAATTATGTGCATTTTATACATAATTTAAAAAAAACTAAAAAAATAGTTATATATATTAATAATTAATTCCTCAAAATGTATTGAATTATTTCGATTGAAAGTTAATAAAAAATTATTGTTAATACTTCATTATTTTTTTAAATTATGCGAATTATATTTTTTAAATTAATGAACATTTTATTTTATTTTAGAACACTGAAGGGGAATTCATATGTAAAACTACGCAAGTGCAAATTAAGTTGCATTCTCAACTTTCTTTTATATTTGTTTTTATTGATGTAACAAAAGGTTGATAATAGTATTTCTTTTTCATAATTTTTAATTCAACTTTTATATGCAGGACTTAATTCAAACTAAATAAAATTTTCTCAATAAAATAAAGTCGCAAAAGTATGACATTAAGGTAAAACCATTGTTATGTATAAGGTCTTTGAATCAAAAATTTTAAAACAATTTTTTTTCAAATGTCTTATTTGAAATAATATTAAATTTAATGATAAACATTTTGTTACATAGTCAACTACAGAAATTTAAAACTTCTGTTTAAAACTTATTAAACAGTAAAATCTAGTAATGTTTAATTGTAATATGATAACTAAGTCACGCTTGTATGATTATTAAAACTGAAAATATTGATCTTAAGCAAAAGTAAGAAAGTTGATTTATCATAGTTCAATTAGACATATTTACTAATATTAATAATAATTTAAAGTAAAACAAGATAAGAATACAACTGACATTAACGCGAGGATTATAGAAAGAACATTAGAATAATATATTTGTAATATTTATTAGCTTAAAATATGTTCTTTACAAAAAAATTGTGTATAAAAGACGAAATACCTTCTAAATTACTCGTTATGACTAAAATTACATTTGTAAACAAATTTTAACTTTCTTTTAAACTTTAAAAAGAGTTTTAAGTGTGTGAAGTTTGAAGTTTTAAGAGTGATTTAGAGTATTGTTTTTAATACATAATTTTTTAAATAATCATTAATTATAAAAAAAAAAAAATAGTTTTATAAAAACATTTTTTTGCAAATGTATATATATATTTTGTATTGTTTGAAATTTGATTTTGTAATGTCGATCAAACCGTGTTAACATGGGTGCAAATGGAACATTTGTTTCGAACTTCAAATTCCAAGAAATGTCTAAATTAAAATTACCCGTTTAAAAAATTATTTGTTTCATTAATTTTGATCCTATTTGTTTTTAATTAATATTACATTAAGTTTTTAAATATTATAACCATAATTATTTATTATAATATTTTACATTTGTATTGTCAATAATTTAATACTAATTTCTAAAAGCAAGTAAAGAATCAATACATATACACTAAAAGAAGACAGCTGCCTATATTGTCTAGTTGGAAAAGGCTTTACGAGTTTACGAAAACTTAAATAGATCTATGAACTTGACTTGTACAATTAATTGGACTCGTATCAGGTTTAAGATTTAGATACATATTTGATAAAATATTATCGATAATAACTTTAAAATAAGGTTAAGTTGACACAAAAATCCATCATTTGTACTAACTATCTTTATTATAATAACTATCAATTTCGAAAATAATTAAAAATTGTTTTTTAAATTTTTTAAGCGCAAGCATTTTACTTGATACTCGAGTAAGTAGTAATTAATTGAAAATAGACGTCTTAAAAATATATAAGAACAGATTTGAAATCAGATAAAATATTATTTTTCATTTTTAAAATTTCTTTAAATAATAATGAATGAGAACTAAATTATTGGATTAACTTAAGGTTAATAAATACTTTGAGTTATTCCTGGAATATCTGTGATAATTAAACATTTTTAAATAATTCACAATTTCTATGACTATTTATACTTAGTAAATATTTTTTAATGAAAAATAAATTATATAATAATTTATATTAATTACAATTACACTCTATGTATCAGAATTTTAATTTACAATAAAACATATACGCCTGCTTAAATTAATAAATTATTGAACTTACTCATTATTTTTTTAAAATTGTTTTTTGATTTGTACCGCAAAATGTCTAGGTAAATAATATAACTATTACAGTTATAATAGGCACAGAAAAAACCAATTGATAACTGACATTTCCTAACCTTCTTTTAAATGTCCACGCCAATGACAACTGATTGCAAATGAAACAGGTTTAAAAATATCAGTAAATAGAAAACAATAAATTTACCTCATATTGGTGAATATAAAATAATTTAACTTATGCATTGTGTAAAAAAACGTTATCTTGATAACTAACTATTCTATTCATATTACACAATTATCTTTTATATAACGATAATTTTCTGTTAGGTTTAAATTATTTTACTTACGATTTTACAAGCTTTAATAGATGATTAATATTTAACATGATTATTTTAAACATCGAAGTAATATTCTTATTGATGCACTTCTACTTTTATTTATTTTCTTATTCTACTGTTAATTTACAAAAACAATATAAACTTAATAAAATACACAGCAATAAAACAATTAATTAAAGTCTTTACAATATAGGATTTATTTTAATTTCATAACATATATATATATAGATATAGATATAGATACAAAATTTTTGTCTCAAAAAAAAAAAAATAAAATAAAATAAAATTACAATACGGAATTTGGAGAACATTTACCGGCTTATTAATCAGTATTTCTTGGTATTATCAATGAGTTTATTGACGGAACCCTGAAAAAAAAAATTTAATTTATATAATATTTTACATTAAATAAATTGAAGTATGTACTAAAAAAATTCATCAATAAATCAAACCCCATTAGTTATTAACATGTAGTAATATATACACTGAAATATTTTGGACAATTTTTAGAATGACTTAATGAATTTCTATTTAGTCTAAAATAAAATATATCTTTGAGAAATAAAAATAAAATTGAATCCCTTTTGAACTTTTTATCAATTTAAAATATAAATTAGAAAAGTAAAATATTAAAAAGGATTAATTTAAATAAATAAATTAAATGAATTAAATTTTATTTAAATAAATAAAATTGTAGTTTAGGTAATCATAATAAAACTAAATATGGTATTTTAAATAAAAATAATAATTAAAAAAATATATTTTATTTCTAATAGATCTGGATTTATTAAGTTTGGATTTATATGCATTTACAGATTTTGTTTAGTTATTCCAAATACATCATTAGTCAGTACAAATTTCTATTAATTGGCTTGAAAATTTAGTAATGTCTTTTAACTGTGGTTAAAAATTGGAGGAGTTAGGAAGGTATATTCCTCTCCCTAAAATACAAAATATTTCAAAACTACTATATATTCTGGAATAAATAGCACAAACTTGGGTCCTTCAAATTGGCTCAAATAAAATGCATGCAAATCCGGACTTTATTTATTATTCAATAATTTTGTTTTTTTAATACTTACTTCGACTTCTTTGGTATACTTGATGAATTGTTCTGTTATTTTTTTTATATCATCCTTATATTTATCATTAATTGGTTTTCCTACTTTATCATCAAAATATTGCTTAGCATCTAATGCGAACTTTTTCATGTCTTTTTCGTATTGATTAAATTTTTCAACGAGTTTTGGATCAGAATATTTTTGCATAAGCTCTCCCAACTTGACAGATTCATTTTCAATCTAAAAATTTATATTTTCAGGTATACTTATATGAAATCCTAATGATATAATAAATATTTGATCTTACATCAGAAATTCCTTTAATGAAGTATGCTCTATATCTCTCAATTGTTTTTTGAGCGTCAGAATTTGGTGTAACACCAATAAATTCTTTAAAATGTTGTGAAATAGAGGACGCAGATTGTGAAAATTGTTCGGCAATTCTTTTCAATTCATCTCCGTCGAACAAAGAAGCAGACATTGCCTATAAATTTGAATTAATTTTATAATATTTCACAACACAAAAATAAAATTAGAATGTAGTCAAATTTTATTTTCAACTCGGTTAAACAAAATATATACTATTTTTACGAAATATATTTGGTAAATCCAGTATGGTGCGAGAAGAAAAAATAATGCAAAAAACAATTCATAGAATTTTGGAGTACACTGTACACTTCTTTTTACGAGACGCAATCTTTATTTTCTACAAGTAGATAAATTAACAAACTATTACAATTTTAAATACTTTTACTGTTTTATAACGTAGTTTATATTGATTTTTACTTATATAGGATTTTTTTCATAAAAATAGATAAATATATTATTCTATCTAATTTTTAGTAGTTTGATCAAAATAGTGAAAAATATAATAAAAACAAATTTTTTGATGATATTTAATATTAACTTAAAAGAACATATTTTAAAATGAAGAATTTATTTTTATTTTTAATAAAATACTATTCAAAAATATAAATGCATTGGCAATTTTTGATTAATAAATAAAAAAATGTAATATTAACTTACTTGTCCAACTAAAAGAACAGCAACACAAAAAACAAATTTTACATTCATGATTACAAGAAAGGTTTATGTATTTTTTACAAACAAATCAACAAACTAGTCATTCAGGACTGATCGGCGCTAAATGGTCGTCTGGTTTATATAGTCATCAAAATCTTACTGATATGATTCGTTACTCATATTATATATTAAACATCTAACAGTATTTTAAAGCATTTGAAAAGTAATGTACGTATATATTCAATAGGTTAGATCAATGTAATGATGAGAGGTCAATTTTTATTTTAAATAGTTAAGCTGACGTCAACATTATCTTCTTGTGCTTTTCAATTTTGCATGCGTTTTCGATATTTTTTTATTCCAAGTTGTAAATATAAATTTATTTTTGCATTTAAAACTTCTTCACTGTTTATATACATATCTATTACGCCTATGTTACATTTATTTAAGTGATAAGGCTTAACTGCATCTTACATTTGCTTTCGTTCAGTGAACTTTTATATATGATATAAAATAATTGATGACTCAAAGGATTGTATTCAATAAATATTTTACTTGTTTTTTTTGTTTATAAAACTCTGTTACATAATTAATTGGATTTAAATATTTTACTATTAGAAAGAAAAACTCGAGTAGATATTATATTTATTCACTTTTTTCATTACCTTTTATAAAAAGAAATTTAAACTACAATTCTTTAACATATAACAAATAGTGTGAAACAAAATACAATCTTACGTTTTGATACTTTCAGCGTTGTAAGAAAAAATCATATTCTCTCGAATAATGTCAATGCTTTTGGTATTGAACATTTATTTCTTATAGAAAGTAAATTAATTTACAAATATCTTAACTATGATTGATTAATGAGTAAAATAAAAAAGTATAATCAACATTTAAAATCGATGCAATATCACGTGGTAAATTTATGTAAATTTAATATAATTAGATCATATAGTAATTTAAAACAATAAAATTTTAATCATTAAATTTATGTTGGGTGATATTTAACTATCTGCAAGGATAATCCACCTAAAATGTTTTTTGAGATTTCACTGGATTTGTATTATTTAATATTAATTATTTTTAGTGTACTCCAATTCAAAAATGTTAGAAAATAAAACGATTCAGTGAAAAAGTTAATTGAAGCGGGAAAACATAATTTAATCATGATAACATAACTGAATAAACCATTACTAATTATTTATTTTGCTGTCCGATTTTTCTAATAAGTTATTTTCTCAATAATTATTATTAAGTTTTGACACCTTACGCAACTTTTCTTTTATAATATTTGTTTTATAGATTGACTCAAACTGATACATTTGAAATTGTATAATTTGTAATTTAAACAGTTATAAAAATATAATAAATAAAACTTTATGTATATTAATTTTTAAAATAATTACATAATTTCTTAAATTATTTTAATGTAAGACGATTAATAGCTCGATTTACAACATCCTGAAACAGTTAAAAGAGTAAAATTAATTTTATTATTATAAATTAAAATTATGATAAATCTCAATAACCCATTTTTGTAAAATATCAACATTTTGATCAAATTTATAGATTTAAATAACAATATTTTTAGAATTAATACTCTTAGAAGAATATTGATAAATATAACTATAAAAATGTAAATAAACATTACTTCAGAATTTTTAGTAGCCTTTATGATTTGATTACTGTATTTAGCTATTTCATTTTCGATATTATTGTTGTTAATTGGTTGGGTTATTTTTTCTTTGAAATATTCCTTAGCAGCAGAGATAAGTTTCTTCAATTTTTTTTCATAACTTTCAATTGCTTCCATAATTTCTGGACTAGCATAACTTTTCATAAGTGTTTTTAAATGAGCGAGTTTGCTTTCCAACTAAGTAAATGATTATTTATATTTAAAAGGATCATGTTACAAAAAAAAATTCTTACGTTGATGAATGATTCGGTTAAGCGTAGATTAAACCAGTTAAGAGATGTTTGAATATCATTATCAATTGCCGATGATACATGCTGTGAAATGGATACTGCTGAATTAGAAAATTGATCAGCGATATTTTTCAATTCTGATCCGGCCATGAAATTTGTAGCAGACAATGTCTATATTTTAAAAATGTATAAAGATAAATTTCATGCATTCTTAGCAAATTTTTGTTATTTATTTTAAATTGTAAAATGAACATAAAAAATAAAATACAATCACAATTTATTTTTAGTTACGATCTGCTAAGAAGCTATTAGTTTTACCATGCAGTGTTTTGTATTTTTATCCCATTACTCAGCAGATAGATTATACTTAACGATCGATCAAAATATTATATTGGATCTGTGCCATTATTTTGAAAAGTTCCCCTTAGTCTCAGTCATAAAGAGAAATATCTCAAAAAATTATAGTTGTCATAGAACAGTCAATGCTGATATTTGTCGTTTTTACATTAAATTGAAATAACTTTTTAAAAAATAGACAAATTATCGCGAATTTTTTTTTTTATAATACTTCAAACATTTATCTTGCTAAAGAATTTTGCTCGTTTTGCTCATTCCCTGTAAATAGTGAAAATCGCCTAAAAAAAATACGATTTTTTAAAATCGGTAAATTTTGACATTTTAAATATGTCAAATATTAATATTTTAATATTTAAATATATAATCATATTTTATAAAAAAATTTTTTCTAAAAATTGCCATAATTTATTGAAAAATAAACAAATCCAAATAATTCTTTTTTACATTGAAACTATAGATATATTTCTTTCATTTGATATGCATTTTTTGAAAATATAACCGTTAATCTGCCCACAGGGAGGAATTCAAAATAGCACCTTCTGCACAAAAATTAAAAATTTTCAACTTAAGTTTTGAAAATGTTTTGGAAATACTCCGAGCTTTAAACATATGTTATAATAAAGATAATGTTATGTACTATAAGTTAAAAAAAAAATTGTCACAACGATGTATCTATTATGTGCAAATGGTTGCCGTAGTTAAAAAACATGCACATTTGGTGTTGAAATTTACGATTTCAGATGATTTTTAAATTAAACATCGTATACAGATTTGCATGGAAGCGTTTTTTATGATAATGATTTGAATCACAGTCAAATTAAATCTATACTGTACCCAACTATGCCACGTCCCCACTGTGCTGGGTTTTTTTTGAGTATTTTTAATTAATAAAAAATAATAAGTTTAAATTTAAATTTTAACAAAATCTAATAAGATGTTTAATTTTATAAAAAAAAATTAGTATTTCTTTTTTACTTTAACTATACTTACTTGACCAAAAAACACAACCAAAAGACAAAATATGATTTTCCCATTCATGATTGAGAAAATAAATACAACAGTTTATTTTGAAGTTTAATATTATGAAACAAATGAAATTATTGTGCAGCAGTGATTTAATTTGTCTTAGATATATTACTTATATAGCCATCGTAGTTTGCTAATATTATTCTTCACATTACGACAGTCAACATTTGAATATATTCTTTACATAATTTTTAATTTACATTTAATTTTTTTTCTATACACGTACTAAGGAGATCCTATTTCTCAGCTTGTTGCGTAGAAAACTATTTTTCTATAAATATAAAATTGTCAAGCGAAAATTGTTGAAACTTTTCAATTCATTGTACATAAAAATCACTCTCTCTATCTTAAATACATCAAATATCCACATCATCACTCGATGGGAAAAATCTCCTATGAGCAAAAAATGTAAATGAAAAATTTTATATAACCGAATTCAGAAAACTTATACTACTTAGTAATAGATATTTAACAATTTGTGTGTGGGAGGTTTTTCACACTAATTCATGATATATTGAATCTAGGAACAAATATGAATAAAAAACTTTTTTTTAATTGAACAAAGTTATCAACAGTGTTCCTTAAAATATATTGAGAAAAGAGAAGCTATATTATTACATTGAAGCGGAAATTCGCACTCGTCAATCAATTTGTTTAATCATTGACTAATAGCTTAATAAAAATTTCCATTATATAAAATTTGTACAACAGTAAAATACACGACGTATTTCCTGTTACGTATTAACTTATGCTACTCAAAAAATGTACGGAGCAATAACCTTTACCTCCTTTATCATAAATAAAACTATTATATACTATAATCTTAGTTTGATATATATATATATATATAGATTATATTTAATAATACATTGAATGAATTTGTAATTCCATTCATTAAAAATATAACATAAGCTAAAAAAAAAAATCGTGTACTCTCTATATATTACCCGTAACTATGCATATTTGATCGTATAATCGACACATGGTCTACTTATTTAAATGTTTACAAATATTGTATTGAAATAAATGACAAATTTTAATTATTCTTCAACACAACAGTAAAATTATAAAAAAAATTTACATTCGGAATGTAGACTATTTTTAATATTTAGTGTATATTCTACAACTTCATTCTTAAATTAATTATATTAATAATTTTTTTTATAAAAACAAATTTCCAAAAATCTGTTATCATAAATTTTGTAGTAGAATTTTCATGAGTAGGTTCAAAAAAAAACTGACAAAATGTGACATTTGATGAATTCATAAGGTCAATAAGGTTATATAAGGGAGTATTATTCGGTGGGGGTGTCAGTATGTGTTTGTGGTAACATTGATTCCAAAATATGTATTCACGATTTTTTTAATAATTTTTGAGGCTTTGAGGTTAATATTTTTTTATTTGTAATAGAATTTTAAGTAAGAATTCAAGTATTGAAATACGATAATAATTCTGATATATTTTCCTTAATAGAAAAAATTTAAGAAAATTTTTCAATTTTTGATGATTATGTATTTAGATCATTTCATACTTGGGTCTGAAGCTAAATAAATGTATATTAGCACATTATATTAAATGCGATATGAAAACATATGATATGAGCGTAGATAATGTGGGAGATTATGTCAAGTGGAAATTTAGGATAAGAGTAGAGCTGACCCCAAGTAGTTGGGATTAAAACGAGGAAAAAATGAAGAAGAAGATTAACACATTATATTAAAATGAAATTTTCTCAGCTTCAACCCAAAATATCAAAAATGAAACAAATTATATAAAAAAAATTAATCCATAGCTTGTATATTATTCAAACATATTGCAAATGCGATACCTCAAAAATTCTCTATATTTTAATGCCCCTTGAAATATATCCAACCAATGCTTGTATTCAAAGCATAGAAAATACTTTTTTAAATTAGAACGCTAAAAATTATTGGTAGGTTTATAAATTACAATTTACACAGTTAATTCTTTAATGGCTTAGTTAATTAATTGATGTATTGTATTACTTTCATTTACAAGTGATCATATGTCACATTCCTAATTTAGTTGAATAATTTGTTTTTGTTGTCTGAAATAATTATACATCAGACTTAATTAGAATATCTAAGTATAAATCTAATAATTTAAGGTTAATTCCTTACATTCAAAAAATCACGTTTTACAATATCATATACAGAAATGTTACAGTTTCTTACATCCATTTAAGTCCGTCATAGAAACATTTAAACATCACGTTTTTTAATAGCTAAATTAATATAAAACTATGTTCCTCGAATAATACTTAACGTTATTATTAGAAATAGATTTTGATCTATTGTTTTCGAAGAGTAATCGTGAATTCGGAATCTATAACTTGAAATACTACAAAACAAGATGGCCAATTTCTTTTGGACAACTATACAACTACTGACGTTCACAATTTTACAAGTAATAAAAAGTTTTATCGCTTGTTTTTAAAAATATTTTAGTAGAGTAAATGGTGTAAATTAATATAGTAACTTTTATTTAAAATTAAAATCAAATAAAAATATTACTAAAAAAAAAGTAAATAATAATAAAATGGGAATTTAGATAAATGGAGCCGATTTTTCTAGATTCCCACACTTTGTATCATTAAAATATTAATCAATAACTAGTTATTTTTGAGGAAAAATTCATATACTTTAATTTATTACTGATACTTATTATATTTATTTTAAAGTTCTAATTTTCCTTAAATAACTAATAAATAAAAACTAATGATACTTAGCATTTTCGTAAAATTGAGCATTATTTAAATTATCTAAGAATAAATAAGAACTAAGAGTGAAAAAATTATTATATATAATAATTTTCATCAACAAAAAATTCTATTTTAGTCAATAAAATAAATTAAAATATAACTTTTCAACTTTGTCCTGAATTTTAACTAAATGTAGAATCTTACATAATACTATTTTAATTAAACTGGTCGTTCTTCAAAGGACCAATGAAAAAGTATTAAAATATATTTTCTAAAAAAAAGCTAAATTTTAATTGATTAAATATAATAATAACATGTCTTGCCTCGAAATGTACTAACCCGTTTATCAATATTTAAAAAATTTTTAATCTTTTCTTTTTGTGTCTAACAATAAGAATAATAAATATTCATTTTATTTTTCAATTATGTATTCTTAAATTAAATCAATAAAAACACATTTTACTAATTAGTAAACTAGATTTTTATGAAAAAACTATGGTAATTTTTATACTTTTCCAGAAATATCAGGTCAAACCTAAAGTTTTAAGTTAACAGTTAACTTTTTTATATTTACGTATTGTCTATTAATTTATTGTTTATATATTTATTTTTTATTCAAAACTACGTCTCTTATTTAATTGAGTTTTATACATTTTAATATTATTATGCAAATAAAGTTATTTATTTAAAAAAATAAACCTAACTAGTATTTTGTAAGTTACTAAAATCTAATAAAAGGCTAGAAATAAAGCGTGAATTTAATCATTTTTATCTCTAGGCTTTTATGAACTACACTACTTCTATCAACCTGATATAAAAATGCTAATATTTTTTAAAGTTATGGTTCAAATGTTATTGACGAGTCTTTTTCTTATTTTTAAGCTGATTAAACATGTATATTTACATAAAAAGACTGAAGATGATAAGATTTTAGGAGGGGGTAAATAGAGCTATTATTTTGTGTTAAAGTGTATAAGATATAAATAACTTATTAAAAAAAAATCTTATATTTTTGTGTCATTGCGTGAGCACATAGTTGACAAATCTCTTTGTATTAAAACTTGATGTTAGCTATTAAAATTGATAGTTTTAAAAACGTAATTTAATTATATTGTTTTATATTATCTGCGTATATATATGATGAACATACTGAAGCTGTTATTATTAATCGTATTATATTGTATAATATAATTATATCCATAAGTACAAAAAATAAATGTGGTTTATTTATGCAACGATTCTTTATATTTTTTAGATAACATGTCAAATCGAAGAAAAGATTCAACGGAAATATGATCAAACACCTTCATATGTTTATCCTAGGCATTTTAAAAACACAGATCATTTTCTCGAAGAAAATATATGCAAGCCATCATTTTCATTAATGGATTCAGATATGACCGAACCAATAATTATTCATATGAAATGTGAACCAATCAAAGGAATACGTCGCGTGAATGCTCCTAAAAATTACGATGCTTCTACTTTTGATGAAGAAATAGCCAAAGATCACGAATTACAACAATTTCCTATACAAGATCCGAAAAATAATGATTATTTTGAAGGAAAGATGAATAATTTCAGAGTTTATCATGGAAACAATCAACCTATCAACAATAACTATTTTGATTTACATTCTGAAGATAAAATTATGCGTAAGCAAATTTCACCCAATAAAGAACAGATAAATCATAATAAAACTTTATTAAATCAAGTAATGAGTGAAGCATTAAGGATTTATCTTAATTTATTACAAGAACCATCAGGCAACGAGGACAGCCCGACACATAAATTTATAAGAAACACAATGAATGACAACAGTACCAAAATATACAGTAAAAATTTAAAAAATGTGAATTCAGACAAAATTCTAAACTCTACATCAAAGTTTCTACCGTTTACATCACATAATAGATCCAATTATTTAAATAACTCAGAAACTGAAAAACCAAGTAAACCTCAACATAATTATTTTACGGAGCTCTTTACAGATACAGTTATTAGCTCTAAATTAAACACAAAGCACTCTTATATTGAAAATAAGTACTTGAAAATAGAAAAAGATTTAATGGTTAATAATCAAACACATGCTTGCTTTTATAACAAAAAAGAGTTTATCAATAATAAAACAATTAGTTATTAAGTAATTATGCTCTGGAGAGCAAGAGTAATATAGAGTTGCAGGAACTTATATAGTATTAATATACGTATAGTTAATAAATCAAAATTTTAGTTAAAAGTGTGTACGTAAACATAATCTTGTAATAAACTGTAATTTCTCGAGCATAATAATTTATACATTATCTTTTAGCTAAAGAATTTATATAAGGTGAATGAACTTTTTTATTTATAAAGGTATGTTTTATATATACTCTTAAGAACGGTTGATAAGTTTAATAATTAGTTAAATATATCCAATGTATATTATACATTAATTAAAATATAATACATTTTGCACAAATTATACATCTATTAGTGATTAAATGGTAGTTTGTATAAAAATATGAACATTTTGTATCCTAAACATTTTAGCACAGTATGTAAAAATATTTTTACACTTTTGTCAAAACTTTTATTTTTTTTTTTAAACATTATCTAAGGTAAATGAAAAGCAAAAAAAATTTAAATCATGGTATAATCTCTATTGAACATTTATATGAGTTCAATTGAATGTCATACGAATATCCTAACCATTAATAACGATATTATAAATAAAATAGAATGAAAAAATTATGTAATCAATGAATTATACATTTTTATACTTAATATAAAAAAAATTGTGATTGATAATTACTTTCTGTAGTACAAATAGCATAGTTTAACTTTTAGTTCACAATTTGAAATTGTGTTTATGCATTGAGTAGAATAGAAATTTTACTAAAATTTCATCTTAAGAAAAACATTTACTTCTATATATATATATATATGTGTGTGTGTGTGTATATATATCTTTACAGGAAACTAATATCAAAATTGGACAAAATCAGTTGGATTATTGAAATTAATTTTGATTTTTTTTAATTCAATTAATATTTAAATTTAAACAATCACTTGATTTTTCTATATTTCTAATAATATGTAATCATACTATTAAATAGTAAACCTTATAGATTTTCGATGAATATTTGTATTTACCATGATATTTTCAAATAGTACATTGATAAATAATTTTATTTTATTTGCTTAAATTAGAGTCTAGAGTTTAAATACATTTTGTTTTAACAGATACAATTAATAGTAATAGATACTTTATTAACTTTTGTTGGACGTCGGTAGTAACCCGACGTAGACACAAGAATAGTACACAAATTAACTAATACTTTTAACTACGAGTTCGTCGTTTTTGGTTCTTCTCGAGTCCTGCCGTCGGATACACTGGTCAGCACCCATCCCTCCAATTAGTGAACCACTAAAGGGGTAGGTTTTAGACCCGTCAGCACGGTTTAGCTCAAAAGTAGAAGACTGAAGGGTGGCTCCTCGACAGTCACCAGCGCAACTACCTTTTCACTATACCTACTAAAAGAACAGTTAAACCAAAAACTTAGCCAGCACGCACACACATAATTTTAATAGCACGCTGTATATAAAGTATTTATATCCAGTATTTATTTAGACCAAGTGTCGGTTTTCGAATAGTTATATTTTATTTACGAAACGTAATAAAGACAAAATCAAAATGTAATATAAAAATGTAACACAATATAAATTAAGCCGTCAAAATAAAAAGTTTCACGCACTAAACGTCCTGACCCGTAACTTGACATTTCTTAGTCAAAACGCCAATCCCCCTATACTTTTCACGTTTCACTTTATACATTCTTTTTCCCACCATTATTAATTTGCTTACCCTGCATTTTCCCTTTATATGACATTATAATATTACTTAAGAATTTAAAAATTGCTTACTACTGTGGTAAAAACTTATACTATACTAATGTCGAAGTTATTTAATACTTGCTCAGCTATTTACTACACTTAATAGTAATAAAACTGTAGTAAAAATAGAGTACTACTCCGTTCCTCACTTTTTATAAACTTCAAATTTTAATATCTCAAAAAGTAATGATATAAAACTAATTATCGTCCAGTCAAAATTTTATTTAGACCATTCTTCATTTATTAATAAAAAAATAATCCTTTATTTTTCGAAAATTATGCATAAAATTTAATCTTAGGAATAATTTTTTCTTATAGTAAACTTATTATTTATAATGGTTTATAAAAATAAATTAAATTTTAATCTATACAATTTTATAAAAAAAATGTATTATTTAAAGAAAAAAGGTGGAGTAGTATACTTATAAATCAAGCTATATAGATAATTATTAAATATTACTTTCTTATTTATTGTATTTATATCAACTTTTTAAAGTATAACATTTTAAATTAGTTAATTTGTTCTAATATATTGAAATTTGGGACGCGGCATAGTGACAAGTATAGAAGATAGTAATTAAAATCATTATTATAAAATACGTTTCCATGAGAAACTGTTAAATTTCACATTGATTTGAACATCAGGGTCAGGTTTAAAGAACACAAAGAACTTAGTATAAGAAGACAGTAAAAATATTTAAAAATAAGAACAATTGAATTAATTAGGATCTTGGTCTACTGAAAAATGTATTATTAACCTTGTGTAAACTGTCAAAATGTGATAATATTACTTAGTGATAACATCACTAGATGATAAGGTCTCTTAGGGGTATGTAAGAGGGGTTTTTACGGTTGAGTAGTCAATATATATTAATAATGGTAACATTGTTTCCGAAATCTGTATCCACGATTTTTTAGTAATTTTTGTGACTATTTGAATTAAAAATTTCCTATAATTTTTAGTTTTAAATTAGTATCTTTAACATGATTTTAATTTTAAATAATAATAGCCATAAGTGATCAATTTTTATTAAATCGGGATTGAGTCGAAATTCATCTTTATCATAATAATGAAAGCATAACAAATTAAATATATTCCGCAATTATAAGCGTATAAATATTTTTTTTTTGTAAATATTGCGAAGTTTTTATTTTTATCTTGGGTTTTTCATTGTAGAATAATTGCAGGGATATTTGTTTTTGTAGTATTGTAAAATACTTCAACATTTTTAATTTAATAGTGGTTAAGGTTGACAGACGTTCCGGGAGATTTAAAAAATAGAGTTGAAAAAAAAATTTTATATTTGAGGGTGGTCTATTTTATATACATAATAAGATTTTAGCTTCGATGCGAAGCTGAGAAGGTATTAATTTTACTATGATGTGTTTTTTTTTTTATTTTTTATTTTTTGTGTCTGTGAACGCTCAATCTCAGCTCTCGCTGGACCGATTTTGATGAACAATATGTCAAAAGATCACAAATCGTATCTGTATGGTACAGAACGCCTTTAGAAGGATCTAGTTGACCAGTTGTTACAAAGATCATTGATTATATTATTTCGTGGGACAGCTGATCACCAGCATCTTGCTTTACTCACCCCCTTGCACACCCATCACGGCAAATCGATGACTTCCGTGACGGTTTTCATCCGTGTACAGTTCATTGTCATAAGTCAGTCAGTAAATTGTTTTTTTTTGTGTCACTCCTTGCTCTGTAACAAGCGCCTTCGCTTGAATGGTAAAATTTTTCGGCTGTTGTACGCCATAGTTTTTTATTACTTGTTTATTGCACCCTTGTGCTCAAAGTTTACGTGCCCTTGCACGGCACTAGTGATTGATCCCTGAGCATCACTAGACATTATCATTGCCGTAGTCTGTTCTCATCTGCCATTACGTGCCTGGATTTACACTCTGACTCGTCATACTCAGATGTTCGACACCATTACCACAAGATCTCATACAGTCCATTCATCACTATCAACAACGTCATCTATACAGCTGAGTTTTATATTATTTTTAATATTATTTATTGTTTGTTTTAATTGAGATTTGTTTTATGCCGCTTCGCCAGCCACTAGTATTTAAGGGCCCCCCGTGACCCCTTAAATTTAAGATACTCTCTAAGGAATTTCTAATATATGTGATTATTTGTTATTTAATTATTGTCTACTTTCATTTACTTATTGGATGTATAGTTAGCCGTCATCTCCTAGGTGACCCAATCCCACATCAATAATAACGTTTTTTAAGCAGGCTTAAGGTAAAACGGCATTCTAGTGCGGTGCACAACTAGCCGTCCTACGGTCTAGCTGCCTCGTACGCATCAGCTTTAATGACATTAATTTTTTTTCAATCATAAAACATCTTATGGAGTCCAGTCATGGATCTGATAACATGATTTAGGTAAGTCGGGCCTGCACGACTTACTCGCTGGACATGCCACTGGAAGTAGTTGTTCCTCCAGAATCTCGTTCTAATATTTATAACTAAGTTTCATATATGTTGAAGATGTTATTAATAAAATAATTAACAAATATTTTTTAAGTATAGAATACAGTTTTATTTATTTAAAAAAACAATTGACATTGTTAATTTACAAATGAAATATGTCTTATTGTATGAGAAAAAAATAAATAAACAAAATTTTAAAATTAAATAAAAAAATTAACAAAATAAACAGGTAAAAGTTAACAACAAACAACAATAAAAATTGAACAAGTGTTCATGAAACGAAACATATAAATGTGTAATAAATAAAAAAAATACTTAAGTGTTTAAAATAATCTACCTCAAATGAGTGAAAAACAAATGTTGCAGATTTTGAAAATATTTAAGCATCGACTCACTGAAAACTCCGTCGTAAGGAGCGATTGCGGCGTGACGATGAGCATCTTGGATATAACGATCCACTAGTATAACGTCGAATTAAATTTATTTTAAACATCAACATCTTGTTTCTACCTGCTACAGATTCCATCTGATCAGCTATATCCCGAAGCCTGCTGAATATAAATAGTCCGTGATTGTTTACGATGCTGGGCTCAGACGAGGAAGATATAATTTGCGGAATGACCAATTGGATCAAGGTATGCGAAAATTCCCACACTGATCTAATATTCCGCATATTTAGCGTTTCTTCGGCATCATAATTGTCAAGGTAGATGTCCATAACGCGGAAAATGTTCATCCTTTGATCTTTCAAACAGTCTCGCAACACGACGGAGGTGGTACAGGGAGGCTGGGATGGATTGCTTGATTCCATTTCTCTCAAATCCTCATTAATTAGTTTGATCACCACTCGATAAATTTTGTCGGTCTTAATGAGGAGTTCGATCAACTTGTCCCGGCCTCCTTCGATCTGCTTGGTTACTTCTGCAATTTTCTTATTTTGCGATTCCATAATGACCTTGTTGAATAGCTTGATTTTCACAAAATACAAAATGAATTCACGACGACAAATTGACAGTTCACATGTAACGGCAGACCGTAAACTCTTATTGAATGTTTACCGTATATATAGGAAAAAAAATTCCAGTCACTTAGCAACACTTTAGTTAAAATAATAGA